CACCCACAGCCCTCGGTGAGACCAACTTACTAATCCCTTCTATTCGCCGGCTTCAATCTATTAAGGGACTCTTCGAAAGCCAGTTTTTATACAAAACTGGGTACTCGCTCTTGCATAGGACTTATCGGATTTTTAAATTAATTCTGATACAACTGTGCTAAAATTTAAGTCGGGTCTAACAATTTAGAGCTTGGGTGAACATTTGGTTAAATGGCCACATACCAAGAAAATTGGATTTAACATGAAGGCCGTATTCAGACCTCTCATCGAAATGAAAGGTGATCGAAATCAATGGCAAACTCTGAAACTTTTTGTCAGATTAAAATTGATAAACGGATCTGCCTTTGCTGTAAAAAAACCCTCGAGTAAGAAAGGGTAAACATCTCTTCTCACCATCAATTTTCGTTTTTGATAGATTGAACCAAAATTTTTGGCATGTAATTTCACTCAAGTGTGTAAAAGATCTGAAGAGAAACTCTGATACCTTATTTATTAGTGGATATTTTTTATCATATATTATCCTAATTTTCTCCATATATTTTCTTCCTTTGGCATCAAACTCCCTATTTCTGACTACATAGTGCTACTCCTAGTCTAAATGACATTCACACTATCCATGAGATGTTTGATGGAGCTTTTGAGCTACCGGAAAACTTTGAGCCTACTGCTCCACCACATAAACCGGACGAACCATCTACTGAGAAACGATTCGACTTCCTCAGCTCTCCCAATGATAACCGTTCACGTGCCAGCCATAGTCTAATTAGCCCCTCACTATCTCAGCTTGTCAGAAGTCCAGCAGCCAGTAAGATCTATTCTAATCCACAAACTGAGTTGTTATGTGCTATGCTAGAGCTAACTAATCCTAATGCTATTCATCTGGGCAAGCAGTCCTATAGCCTAGACGAGTTGTCAGCTCAACTAGCAAGACGTAACGAAGAGGCTGAGGATGATAATGAAGATGAAGATGAAGCCTACATAGAAGGGAAGGAAGAGTGGGGAGACCAAGGCGATGTACCGGAAACAGCAGTTGGTGATTTACCATTAGTAACAGAAGACATACATGGAAAACATAAGTACCTTGATGACGAAATTGATTTATCATCTGAATACGACCCATTAGTTTGCCATATATCGCCTCAAAAGATTAGCTGCGCTCGTCGCCTTGTTCTCCCAGATCCCAAGTTCGCTCCGACCACCCCGATACCAAGTGTACGTAATCCAGAAGAGGTGGATCTCGGTTCACCAAACAATGACTCTTGCGAATCTAATGAAAGTCCTGCGGATACGGAATTTCCTGAAAAGACATGTGAAGAATATGTCCCGCAATCCCTATGGTCCTCCAGTCCATCTTCACCAAAAAGGCAGCTTCCCTTATACACTGCCAAACCCACATTGACACAAGACTATGCGCCTACATCAAGCGCTGAGCAGGCCTCAATC